CATAGGGAAAGGTTACAAATTTAACCCATATGAGAGAGTTTTCAGTTATATATTCAGTCTAAATAAATTTAAGAAAATCCCTACTGGAGAAAAGCATTATATATATAAAGAATGTGGTAAAGTGCCCTGACCGCTTTGGCTCAGTGGATAGAGTGTCGGCCTACGGACTGAAGGGTCCCGGGTTTGATTCAAATCAAGGGCATGTACCTCGGTTGCAGGCACATCCCCAGTAGAGGGCGTGCAGGAGGCAGCTGATGGATGTTTTTCTCTCATTGATGTTTCTAACTCTCTATCCCTCTCCCTTCCTCTCTGTAAAAAATCAAGAAAATATATATTTTTAAAAAGAATGTGGTAAAGCATTTAATATTCTTTCAAATCTGTGTGAACTTGAGGGAATTCATACTGGAAAAAAGCCCTATAAATGTAGAGAATGTGGCAAAGCTTTTTGCAACACTTCATCTCTTACTTATTATCAGAGAGAGCATACCGGAGAGAAGCCTTATAAATGTGGAGAATGTGGCAAAGGATTCAGTAATACCTCAAGTTTTAATCGCCATAAGAGAGTTCATACTGGAGAAAAACCCCATAAATGTAGGGAATGTGGCAAAGCCTTCCGTACTGCAACAAACCTTACTTGTCATCAGAGAGTTCATACTGGAGAGAAGCCCTACAAATGTAGAGAATGTGACAAAGCCTTTAGCAGGTCCTCATCTCTTACTTATCATCAGAGAGTTCATACTGGAGAGAAGCCTTTTAAATGTGCAGATTGTGGCAAAACTTTCCGTGTAGCATCAGACCTTACTTATCATCAGAAAGTTCATACTGTAGACAATCCTTATAAATGTGAAGAATGTGGCAAAGCCTTCCGTGGGCAAACAGACCTTACTTACCATCAGAGAATTCACACTGGAGAGAAGCCCTACAAATGTAGAGAATGTGGCAAAGCCTTCAGTGTGCCAAGAAATCTTACTTATCATCAGAGAGTTCATACTGGAGAGAAGCCCTACAAATGTAGAGAATGTGGCAAAGCCTTTAGCAGGTCCTCAACCCTTGCATATCATCAGAGAGTTCATACTGGAGAGAAACCTTATAAATGTGGCAAATGTGGCAAAGCCTTCAGGAGGTCCTCAAGGTATAGAGTTCATCAGAGTATTCATAGTGGAGGGAAGCCTTATAAATGTAAAGAATGTGACAAAGCTTTCAGGGGGGCAACAAACCTTACTTATCATCGGAGAGTTCATGCTGGAGAGAAGCCCTATAAATGTAGAGAATGTGGCAAAGCCTTTAACCAGTGTTCCTGCCTTTCTGTACAGCAGTGTCCATAGTTGAGAGAAGTGTCACAGATGTTAGTGTTGTTAGTCCTTTACCAACTGCAAGAACTTAATATCACAGAATTTATACTGGGAAGAAGCCTTTAACTATCTCTTTCCTTGAGAGGGCTCCAGAGGGCACACGAGGACATTTGGCCGCGCCTCCGCGCCATCTATGAAACCAGCCCAACCCCAACTCCTCATCAGTACAGACCAGGAGATTGGGTCTCCATAAGAAAGCACCGCTGGGAGACCCTCGAACCACGTTGGAAGGGCCCCTACACTGTGGTGCTGACAACCCCCACCGCTCTCAAGGTAGACGGCGTCTCAACCTGGGTCCATTACACTCACGTCCGGTCAGCGGTTCCATCCATGCACCAAATGGAGCATCGATTGAGATCAACACAACCCGCTTAAGCTCAAGCTACGGTGTGCTCGACCTGCCTGATGCTGGTAACATTGCTCTTGATCACTCCTGCTACCGGGAGCCCCACAACACTGTGTAATAGAGAGCCATGGAGGAATTTTAAGAAGAAAAATCCGACAGAACCTAGATAGAACCTAGACACAGAACCTAGAGACAGAACCTAGCGAGAGAACCTGGCTGAAGATCCTAGAGACAGAACCTGGCTACAGAACCTGGATAGAACGTGGCAAGAGAACCTGACTAGAACCTGGTGGCTGGAGAACCTAGCGAGGGAACATGGCTACAGAACCTGGCTGGAGAACCTGGAGAACCTAGCAAGAGAACATGGACACAGAACCTGGCTGGAGATCCAAACCAGAACTTCCCTGGAGATCCTGACCAGAACTTGGCTAGAGATCCTGGCTAGGCTGCTGATCAACTGAACGCTGTCTCCGTGTCATTCCTTGTTCGCCAACTCCGTCTACTCCCTTGGGGACCCCTGGACCTGCTGGGGTTGGACCCCAGCATGGAAGGAAAATTGATATTAAACAGAGACAGGCAAAACTGACAAAGAACAGGAGGGGAATGACAATTTCGACTATGATCTTACAGGCTTCACAATTTCTACCAGAGTCCTTGACCGTCGTCATGGTCACGGACATGGACGGGAAGTATGCGGCGTCCCGCCTTCCACGCGTCCAAATCAGACCAGATCAGACAATTCACAGACAGAAACTGAAATAAAATCAGGCCCGACTCACCAGGGGGCAAATCCGATGCGCTGGCATCCGTACTGCAGAAGAGCGGCTGTCAAGGAATTTGACCAAACTTTTGGGGACGATTCCCTGTCCCCTCAGAACCCGGGACTGGGACTCCAGAGTGTCCTTGTGGATATCTCGGTGGGGCCTCCAAATGTTATGGAGTGAATTCCCAGACAAAGGGCCACAGAGTCAATTGGGTTCAAATTACAGCCTTTATTCACGAATTCGAATCCGGGCTCAAGCCTTAGCTGACGCAGCAGCAGACAAGAGCCCTGAGCATCAGTTGCAAGTTGCTTTTATCCCCTCGTTCTGGGGAGTTATTTTGCAAAAGCTATTGGCTGATCTTTAATCTGCAAAAGCTATCTTTATTTCGGGGTAACTGGCAGGATATGGCTGGTTGCCCTGGGTCCGAGAAGCAGGATGTGTGGGTTTGCGGGTAAGCTAGAAAAACAGCTGGCAGCTGTTGCAAACGGGGTCACACAGTTTTAAAATTTTCCATTTTTCTATAATTAAGTCTATTGTTCCTGACTTGAGGTGCTTCTTACAGTTATCACTGATAAGGGCTTAATTTCCAACATTTATAGGGAACTCATACAACTTAACAAAAGGAAGAGAAACAATCCAATAAAAAAAAATGGACAAAGGACTTAAATAGATCCTTTTCAAAAGAGGACATTCAGAAAGCCAAGAGACATATGAAAACATGCTCCAAGTCACTAACCATCTGAGAGATGCAAATCAAAACAACAATGAGGTACTGTTAAGGGCTATTAGAATACTCTTGGCTTAATTTACATCAGCTGGGACTTAGGGGGAGGGCAGAGCCACTCCCTTAGGGCATGACCAGTCAAAGACTGGTAGCCACTCATTCTGACTCTCCAGCCCATTTGCTTTTCCTATTATACAGGCAGCTGACCCACAGCAATGGTGAAATAGAAATACAGTCCATCTCATGATTGAGCCGGAAGTTCCAAGACAAAGGGGGGAATGAATGAGCGAGGGCTATGCCCTCCATCTTACCCAGTGTTAACGGGATGGATCTCATGATGTCAAAGGACCACCCAGATGTGATGTAACTTCCTGTAATTCGAGTATGTAATAAATCAGCTTTTGGAGCTGGCTCTTTCTGTGTACTCTGTCCCTCCAGATGGCTGGCTCTCTGTGCCTGTCCCTCCAGAGGGCAGGCACCACACCCAGCCCAAGCTTTTAATCTATAAAAAAAAAGAAGAAAAATCCTATTTCATAGATACAGAGGCAGAGCTGCCTCGAACAGGCTGTCAAATACTTTAAGCAATAAAAAAAATAAAAAATAAATTTAAAAAATCCTATTTCCATAGAAGTTGTTAAAACTAAAATGGTTTCTTTCCCTTCCACCGGACCATTTGTTAAGCTTATAGGGATAGTTCAGTTGATAGTTCTGTGTGCCCAGTACGGGCCTCTAGCAATGGTGAAATAGAAATACAGTCCATCTCATGATTGAGCCGGAAGTTCCAAGACAAAGGGGGGAATGAATGAGCGAGGGCTATGCCCTCCATCTTACCCTAGAAGCCATGTGCTCGGCAAGGCTTCTTCCTGGAAGCCCAAGCCTCTGCTAGCCAAGCCCAGGATTTCTTTAAACTAACCAATGACTATCAAGGGAGGTGCGCGCCATAGATATGACCACATCCCGTGTAACAAGACCCAACTTGCACCTGGCCAATTGACAGGGCCCACAGTCACCTCTCCTCCCCTTACTCCACCCCCCTATAAAACTCCTCTTCCCACCGGACTAGCTCTCTCTCTGCCACTTGCTGCTGTGTCAGTAAGGAGGGTAGGGGAGCCAGACCCGGGTTTGTAATAATAAAGACTCTCTGCTTTTGCATCGGACTCTGCTGGCTCCCTGTTGGTCTATTGGGGATCTTGAAATCTGGGCATAACAGCACCCTCTGCTCCTAAAGAGAAGCAGAAAGAAAAAATGGGAGGAATGGACTCATGGCCCCCTTCACCTCCATGTCCTAATCCTGAAATGTTTAATTTGCTGTTAATAGCGTCACCTATGTAAAGAGCTTTCCAAGAAGGATTAAAGGATATGTCGGTGGAGGAAAGATTTGCTTTTCCTATTATTATACAGGCAGCTGACCCACAGCTCCCAAATCATATAATAAGACACCATGAAAAATTTGACTTTAAAATGATAAAGGCCTAATAAATAAATAAATAAAAATAAAATGATAAAGGCCTTGCATGAAAGCATAGTTCATAATGGTCTGACAGCTCCTTTTACAGGAGAAATTGTGAATAATATTTCTGAAGCATTCTTTTTTTTTAAGTTAAATCTTTATTGTTCAGATTATTACATTTGTTCCTCTTTTTGCCCCCATAACTCCCCTCCTCCCAGTTCTCACCCCACCCTCTGCCCTCACTCCCCACCCACTGTCCTCATCCATAGGTGCACGATTTTTGTCCAGTCTCTTCCCGCA